CCTCATATGCAGAATTACTGCTTCCAGTAGAAGGAATCGAGGAGTCATCAAAATCCAGTCACATATTTCAAAGATTAGCTTACAATGGTTTCCCAAGTCTTGCCCTTTTCGCTCGCACATGTGGAAGTTGCTTCCCTATGATAGCAGCAGCTGTGCTGCATGTGTCTATATTGCAACTACATGGGTATGGCCAATTATGTGGCTCTTTCTTAGAAAATCTGCCCCACATACATACCACTGTCATGGTAGATAACACTAAGGAAAAAAGATTTCCACACAGTTGTGTGTATGAGTGAAAAAGTCTCAAGTTGCAACTATCACTGAAAGCCTCCTTGCTCACAGGTTGTTTTATTCATTCTCAATCCATTGCCCCACAAGAGCATAAATCTCCCGTCTTCAAGACTGTATGTACTCTTCCTTGATTTTCCATTTCCTTCAGAAAATACATGTGCTATTTTACTGCCAACAAGAAAATATTTTAAAATATTAGGCTGACAAAAAATTAGTCTCAGTGTGTTGAACATGCTGACAGTCAATGGCTCTTTCCATCAGGGATAACACATTTGCATCCATCAACTTTCTTGGGCTAAAACAAAATAAACTATTTTCTTCATGTGAAATATAGCTCTAACCTTCTAGTACAATCACCAAAATAGTTTTAAAATGTTTGTTTGTTTTTTAAATTAAGGTATTTATATACCAAAGTTTCTAAGCAGTTATTTACAAACACTTGTACATACATTTAGTCACACACATTTCTCATGCTTCTTACTTAAAATACTAAACCATCAGCAGCCATAATAGCTATAGGCAGAAGCTATGATTTCTGCCAAACGGCTGGATTTTTTTGTGATTCCGTTTATAGATCCATTAACAGATAACGTTTCAAATGCTGATTCTGATTTCCTACATTCCAGTCCACATACAGAGGACTTATTGTTGGTAACACCTTGTGTGAGTCACCTCCTTCATGCTGAAAGCACAACTGCAGCTCCATACAGTTCTGTCTGACACACACTCACAAATTCAAATATCTGTATTTAAATTGAGAACTACAAAGTACTACTTTATTTCAATTTCATCCCGAGTCCAACAGTTGGTTTAGCACATCTGCTAGTAACATTAGAATGACTACCCTGCAAAACAAGTATTTCTTATTGTGTTGGCCTACTATGGCAGTGTATATACCACACACTACTAGTCACTTGTAATACTGAACTGCTTTAAGTTTAAACTCCGGGATAGGAAGGTCAAGCTAATTCAACCTTTTGCATTGACGCTACATAACTCTCTAAAGTTAATATAACTATCACTGTAGACAACAAGGCAAGAGAATAGAGAGAAAAGTATACATTATCTGGTCAATCTTATTCTCCGAGGGCAAAATGGTCATACCTTCTTGTTCTGCTCTTTGATCTTGATCTCTGAGACCGATATAATTTTCCTCGGTCTCTTGAACGGCTCCGGCTCCGTTTTCTCTTGGATCCATATGAAGAGCTGCTGCTAGATCGATGCCTGTGCCTAAAACAGTAACCGATATTGCCAGAAAGTCCATCAGTGGAGCATAATAATGTTCACATTTTGCACTTGCACTGCCACTGATCTAGCCTTTCTGCATACATACAGTGAAAACAAAAACTAAAAAGAAATATACATATACATGGATAGAAACCTGCTCAGTCTTTAAGATCATCTTCCTAAGCCCTTCTCCAGATGCCCCCAGCTTCAAAGGCAATATGGCTGACAACTGAGAATAAGGCCTTCTCAGTGGCAGCATACCAGATATGGAACTTTCACCCCAGCTATGTTTGTTTGGTACCTAATTTGTTAAGTTTTAGGCAATGGATGAAAATAGTTTTCTTTGCCTGTGCTTTAATAGACTATAATGGGCTCTCACTGTCGCATGGAATTTTAATACTCTTCATTTATTGCTTAATTCAATTCAATTTGGGATATATATCCTCCTATAAATTAAAGAAAATAAATCATAAATAAATATTCATAAGATTTTACTCCAACGCAAGTCTAGGAAATAGTTCTATATATAGAAAAGAGGGGTGCAATTACACAGTTCCTGGTATAAGAGTAAGAAATAAAGATGTACTATAAATGTTTCTGAATACAATTTCAATCTATGTAGTATTAAAACGTATTTAGTACTTTTCCTATTTTTCCTATTTTTGTACATAATAACTTACTAAATAAGAAATGTTACTGTAATGCTTATGTTTTGTTATGTCATTGGCACTGTGATGCTACAAGTTCCCATGGTTTTCAGATTCCATATCCATTTTTGCAGAAAATGTCCTGAACACAGCAAGTTCAAGATCACCACAGCTTTTGGCAAAACAAAAAGTAAAGACTAGACGACAATAAGGATGGTTCGCAACAGTGAAAAGTAAACATGTACTCTTGTAAATCCTCCCAACTCAAAATTTTAGATAATCCCATGCATATTTATTGAGATTATACAGCATTACACCAGCCTCCGTTGATTTCACAAAGTATTTTTCCCCACTAGTACCTATACTACTTAGAGAGGTACTTCCTTTGGGAAATATGAAGTAAATTTAAGTTATCATCAGTTCATAGTATGCATCTCTGTCCTCCCAGGAGGTTTATTCTATATAAAGAGGTGCTTCCCACTGGAGGACGATGTAGTACTGTCAATTGGGGCATGCACAAGTGCTTGCCAATACAATTGTTCTTGTCTTTTAAATCAAAACACATATGCACAATGGCCAAGACTGCATAAAATCACATTAAAAATCACTGCACCAGTATCTGTAGAACAGTGCTTCCCAACAGGAACATAATGCAGCTTCATATAAATACCCAGTGACTGCACATCTTATTGCCCCTTAAAATTATTTCAATACACATCTCTGCAAGGACAGTTCAAAAGCAGCATGGGAAGTTTGATCCAGAAGATAGAATGTAGGACAGCACATCCCTACACAGTCAATAACGCATAAGAGCAAACTGCCATTTTAAGCTACCTTATCATACCATGAGACCTGCGGGTATATGGCAGTATATAAATTCTATTATTATTATTATTATTATCATCATCATCAACAACAACAACATGCCCTATCTTCTCATGCTTAGAAACTTGGTGTGAGTTTTAATCTGCTTTTACTGCTATTTTAACTTTTTGAAAGTCTTAAATTATTGTTTTAATTCTTATTAGGGAAAATTTTGAAGTTTTGTGTTGTTGTTTTTACAATCAATAAATGTATAAATTTTATTAAATAAAATAATTTATCACTGAAGCCAGAGATGGGGAACTTGTGCCCTTCAGGTATTGTAGGACTACAACTCTCATCATCTCTGACCACTGGTTATGCTGGTTGGGACTGATGAGAGTAGTAGCCCAACAATATCTGAAGGGTCATGTTCCCTACCCCTATTTAAAGGTACCCTTCTGGGACTCTAACCAAATACTTTTGAATGCATGTCCCCTGCATAAAAAAGGCATAAAAGCACACCTGAGGTTACAGCAAAGGTTAGCCTGTTTAAATCACCCCACAAACCCTCTCCTTCCCTATTCTGCTGAGAAAGTTGGAAATGGCTACAATGACCAGCACTTCTTCCAATCAGGACAAGTAAATGAGCTCAAGTCCAGACAAGCCAAAGCAGAGCAAAGCAATAGGCAGCTCTCAGTGGACTCTTCTGGGTAAAATATCAAGGACCAGGGTCCCCTGAAGTCTTAAGGTAGCTGGCAAAGCTGGCAAAACATTTCGTTCCAGTGGTTCTGGCCCCCTGGGAGAGCTATACAGTCATACCTCGGGTTAAAGCAGCTTCGGGACGAGTATTTTCGGGTTGCGCGCTGCAGCGACCTGGAAGTAACCACTACCTTATTTGGGGTGGCCCTGTTTCCAAACTGGCAGAAGCTCAATCACCCAATTTCATTATTTAAAAGAATGATATTCAAGCAATAAGCTAATTGTACATCATGTGACAGGAAGCTTGGTTAATCAACATGGAAGCTGGAGTTAGATTCTGCAAGACATACTTTGCAAACGATATGTCTTATGGCAGGGTGTTCTAAAATGTTCTCAATGGCTTACTCTATTTAAAGACATATTTATCTTTATCTGTGAAAAACTGGAATTTATTTACTAAATGAAAAGGGAACAGTTGCTTTTATCAATCACCATAATTTAATTCTTCAAAGATCAAGCAGAATCCAGCATAACCTTGAGATTTTATATTATCTTAACAGCCAGGGGTGTATCCTACACTGAGGTCAAGACAGAGGTGCTAGCCAAATCCTCAAAGCAAATACTTAGATCTTTCTGGATTCAAATAAGCCAGCTGGTTCTCATCCAGCCTCCAGGGTTTCTTCAAGCTTGGTGTTATCTGTCAGATAGTCATATCTGCAGTGTAAGAGAGATATTCATAAAGCTGCGTGTCATCTGCATAATGTTGGCATTGCAGTTGATATTATCCCACTATGTCCCTTTAGGGGATACATGTCAATATTAAAAACAGGACCAGGAAAAACAAATGTGAAGGCATTCTACCTATCAGAACTTTCTGAAGAAAATATTTAACTATCACCTTTGATTAACTATAAAGAAATTAACCAGATTTATTGAATTTTATTCTACCGTAAGATCCAGATATAGTTACAACATTACGTTGTCATCTAAAATTCTGAACAGGCAATTTTATCTTCTATAAAATAATGTCTGATATCCTAGTCTGGTCATTTCTCCTTGATTTACTTTGCCAACATAGGTGAAAAATGTACTGTCTGAAAACTGGGAGGCAATAGACTGTGTTGGGAAAACCTACAATATTTTACATGGGAGAGAGTCTCTAAATTATATTTTAAAAAATGTCACCCATCTAGTGCCCATGCATAACTTACAACAATTTAAAGTCACAATACAAGAAAACTATATTAAAATAACAATGATATAGCAATAAAAAAACATGAAATACATTAAGTATTCATTTACAAGCTACAATGGCAGAATCACAGGTATAAATGACCTGTGAAATAGCTCAGTAGGTAGAGCATAAAACTCTTAATCTCAGGATCCTGGGTTCTAGCCTCATGCTGGGTAAAAGCATTGCAGGCAGCTGATGACCCTTGTGGTCCCTTCCAATTCTATGATTCTATGAATCCATTCTATGAGTTCTTACTTAGCAGGCAAAAGCTTGTCAGAATAAAAATGTATTCCTTTACCAGCTGATGAAAGACAATCAGAGATGAGGCCGGCCACGCTTCATGAACAAAGGTAATACTGGTGGAGCCACTAAAGAAACCATCTCTCATTCTCAGCAACTATTATTATTTATTATTTATTTAATTTCTATACCACCCAATACCCGAAGGTCTCAACCCTACGTCACAACCCTACGTGAAACACAGAAAAAGGCCTCTCCTTAATTTTAGGAAGTGGACAGAATGACATGGAAGGAGGTGATGCCTCAGGTATCCTGGGCCTAAGCCCTGAAGTCCCGTAAATTGGCAGTGAGCACATATGTTGCACAATAGTCCCATGGATGCGTGTCCACATCCTTGCTGCTGCTTTCTGGACCCACTGCAGCTAGCTTCCCAAAGACTCTTCACAGGGTGGACCCATGCATAGCACATTGCCCAAACACAATGTAACAAGCTGGATGTAAAGCTGTATCCAGGAACATTCAACTGCAAATATGATTTTTCAATGGGACTACATCTGCATCCAAAACTCATTTAATCCCTACTACAGATTCTGTCTTCCTCCTGACCAGGAGCACGTCTGTCTTGTCTACATTGTGCCACAGTTTGTCAGCCCTCATTCAGCCCATGACCACCTCCGGGCACCCAGTCAGAACCACAGAAGCTTTCTCAAGTACTAGATGAAATAGTGAAACGGAGCCACTGTCATCCAATAACAATGCACTCCAAACCCTCAGGCACCAGGCTGAGTTACGGGTAGCACAGGAGAACAAAACTGCTTTACCCAGCTCATGGAAGACATCAATGGCCAGAACAGTGGTACCTCGGGTTACGTACGCTTCAGGTTACATATGCTTCAGGTTACAGACTCCGCTAACCCAGAAATAGTACCTCAGGTTAAGAACTTTGCTTCAGGATGAGAACAGAAATTGTGCTCCGGCGGCGCGGCAGCAGCGGGAGGCCCCATTAGCTTAAGTGGTGCTTCAGGTTAAGAACAGTTTCAAGTTAAGAACGGACCTCTGGAACGAATTAAGTACTTAACCCAAGGTACCACTGTAGTCTGATCCTCACACCATTTCAGAGCTATTTGTGGGTCTAACAGTCAATACAAATTACGGAAAGGCTTTCATTTCATTTCTTTTTTCAAAAAGGAACCTACCTGTTTGTTAAGTCTGGCACCAGAGGTCCTTCTCTAAATATCCCTGCCGATCTGTAGGCTTTCTTAATAATAATTACTATTATTTAAATGCCGCCATTTGACTGGGTTGCCCGGAGAGCCATGTTTTAGAACGTTTCCACCAAAAAAGATTGCCCAGGATTTGTAATTTAATGTTGCTACGATAACTGCTTTTGTTTTGATGTTTTTGATCTGTTTCATATTTGTTTTATGGTTCTCTTTTGTAGGCTATTTTGGAAATCTGGATTAATAAAATTATGCTGTGTTAAAAAGTTAATTTTAAATCAGCTGATGTTGGTCCACTGTGGTTCATTAAGTCCAGGGTCAACACAGCCGTCTACCAGGAGATTTTGGAGCACTTCATGCTTCCTTCCGTAAACGAGCTTTATGGGGATGCTGACTTCATTTTCCAGCAGGTCTTTGGCACCTGCCCACACTGCCAAAAGTACCAAAACCTGGTTCAATGCCCATGGAATTATTGTGCTTGATTGGCTCCCCTGACCTGAACCCCATAGAGAATCTATGGGGCATTGCCAAGAGACATGAGACCGAGCAATGCAGAAGAGCTGAAGGCTGCTATTGAAGCTTCCTGGTCTTCCATAAAGACTTCAGCAGTGCCACAGGCTGATAGCATCCATGCCACACCGCACTGAGGCAGTAATTAATGCAAAAGGGGCCCAAACCAAGTACTGAGTACATATGCATGCTTCTACTTCTCAGAGGTCCAATATTGCTCTATTTGCAGTCCTTGTTTTGCTGATTTCATTTAATATTCTAATTTTCTGAGATTGTTAATTTGGGGTTTTCATCAGCTGTACGCCATGATCCTCACAATTATAACAAATAAAGGCTTGACATATCTCGTTTTGCATGTCATGAGTCTATCTCATATATTAGTTTCACCTTTTAAGTTGAATTACTGAAATAAATGAACTTTTCCACGATATTCTAATTTTCCGAGTTTCACCTGTAGGTGTCTATATGTTGCCTCCTTGATCAGAAACAGCATGTCTCCAAATACCATTTCTTGGGCCACGGCAAAATAGGGCTACCGCATCCATGACCTTGTACTGAACAAGCCATAGGCATCCAGTTAGCCATGGCTGAAAACAGAATACTGAACTAGGCCTTTGGCAAATCCAACAAGACTCTTCTTATGTTCTTATAATCCAGGTGTTAGAAATTTTCTAACATGTTAGTGGTATTCTGGTAAAATTAGATCCTAGAGTTATATTATTGAATATTTAGACAAGCAAGCTTCTCTTTCATTCCATCTACTGATTCTGGATTTGTTAAAAATGCCACACACACCCCAAAATTGCTAGATATTGGAACAAGTTTCTGTTCATCTAGCAAGGAACGCTTTATCAACATTCTTGAAACTGCCAAGTTGAATGGACAGATTATGTGCAAAGGAAAAAAGAATACGTCCATCAATTCTATTTTCAGAGAAATGGACACTATTGTCTACTGGAAAACACATAATAATTTTATAATTTTGGACTGAGAAACTTTCTTGTAAATATTTGCTTCTTTTCAACTAAAATATAAAAAGAAACATCAAAAGCCATAAGAGTGACTGTTAATGATATTACTTTCAGCAAGAAGTAAGCCTTCTTTCATTGCCATTATATTTTTACTGAAATTTCAGTAATGTAGAAGTTTTATTTTTTACCAGTAATATGGTAGTTCCTCAATACCAAATACAAACTTACAAAGTGATTACTATTACACAGATAAGGAAAGGAACCACCCTAGATAAAAAGCAGGTAGATGATGTTTATATGTCCACAAATTTATACTAACCAGAGAGCAATAAGGGGACTTAATTCCTGATCCTCTCCTTCCACATAACCCAGTGGCATATCCAGATTCAACCACATACGCCTGTAATCCAATTTGTTTGGACACAGCTGAAGCAGCATCCTATGCAAGCCAAATGAGGCAGAGCCAACCTGCATTACGCACTTTGCATTGAAAATCTGGTTGATTGTTAATGTTGCCCCCCAATATATGGAATGCAGCACTGCATCTATGCAATAATCCAAAACCACTTCAGTACACACTGGATGATGTGCAAGAAGTAACCAGCAGCTCTACCTTCCTCTCCACTAGTGCCTCAATCCAAAAGGTATTGCCAGTTGGAGCAGAGCACTCATACAGTAGCCCTGGATGAACACAAGAGCAAGGGGGATATTTTGTTTCTTTGTGCCTTTGCTGGATATTTACGCCACAACCTACAGGCAACGACCGATTGGCATGGGGTTACATTTCTGACCCCCACCCCAACCCGTGCATCAGTGCAGCGCACATAAGCTCTCCCTGCCGACCCCATTCCACCCCCTTTTCAAGCCACTTGTGGCTTGTCGCTATGCGTGCATGCATGGCCGCACGTCAATTGGACACACATAAATTGGTCAATCCTGCCAACCTAGTAGTTCGAAAGCACGTCAAGTGCAAGTAGATAAACAGGCGGGAAGGTAAAGCGGCTTAGTCATGCCGGCCACATGACACCGGGTCCCTCGGCCAATAAAGCGAGATGAGCGCCGCAACCCCAGAGTCAGTCACGAATGGGCCTAATGGTCAGGGGTCACTTTACCTTTACCTAAATTAGTCATTGCCTGTATATGCCATTATCTACAGCAGAATATTGGATCAAGCTGTGAATTATGCCTGCTAAATATTTTAAGTAGCCTTTTCTACAAACACTTTCAAAACCCAATACAAATTAATTAATTTACCTCTTTTCATATGAATGTGAACGAAACTGGAGATCTCGAGACCGTGACCTTGACTTCCTTCCTGATTTTTTACGGCTGTAAGTTCTGCTATCAGAAGAACTGCTTGAAGATGACCTCCTACGGTGTTTCTTTTTTCTTTTGCTTCTGCTCTCTTCCTCAGTGTCTGATGAGCGGCGACCCATTTTAACAAGCTATTTTTTAAAAAAGACAAAAGAACTGTAAACATCAGATGAAATCTTAAACATTATTATAGAAAGCCTGCTGTACCCTTACCAATCTCCATACACCAGTATTCAGTTTAGACCCAAATCCTAACTTAACATTATCTAATACAGTGGTACCTCTGGATGTGAACAGGATCCGTTCCGGAGCCCTGTTCGCATCCTGAAGAGAACGCAACCCGCATCTGCGGGTTGCGATTTGCCGCTTCTGCGCATGCGCATGACGTCATTTAGAGCGTCTGCGCATGCGTGAGCGGTGAAACCCGGAAGTAACACGTTCCGTTACTTCCAGGTTGCCGCGGAGCGCAACCCGAAAACGCTCAACCTGAAGCAACTTTAACCCGATGTATGACTGTACCACTGCTGCTAGGTAGTTGCTATTTACTTGGGCCTGCTCTCTTGTAACACCTTTTCCAAAGCTACAAACAGCAATCCTGATCATATTTACTTTTATCACTGAAATTAAGAGAGCTTGCTTCCAAGTAACTGTCCTTAGGACTGAGAACTGGGAACCCCCAAGTATGTGAAGCAAATTTCATTTTTTCCTTGGGGAAGATGGGGAAAAGCTTTCACCCTAACAAATGGATGTTGTCTTGGAAGTCCTAGTATGTTCAAGCACTTATTCCCAGGTACTTATGCATATGATTCCAGCTTAAAGCTATTACCTCCATTAAGGTTTAGTGCCATTATCATGAACATAAACAAGGCAAGAAACTTGGCTTTACACTCAGTAAAAATTGAAGAATGAAGCAAGGAGGACT